TCTGTTGCCAACTGGATGGAAACATAGCTAGTGTTTGTCATATTTCTGCTGTTGGGAAGAGAATAGGATATGTTATTATAGGAATTATAGGAAATATGTTGGTAGGACAAGGCTATGTATGTTTGTGGACATGGAAGTCAGTTGATTTATGTTTACTATAGGTTAATGAGGGAATACAAATGTAATGTGAATAAAATCAATGGCATTTAGTTGACGCAAATGGCCCACTGTTTTCGTCATTTTGACAGCTAGACTAAATCATTATTCAAATGACAATTGTGACTAAGAATTAATTATATTTTAGTTAAAATGACTAAGACTAAATCTAAAAAATTGTGCCAAAATGAACAGTTCTATAGCTACCAAAATGGCTGCGCTGCGTGGTGGCTTAAACTTCACCCCTGTCAGTCATATAGGGTTAACACATATCATTGGTTAGGACACATCCTCTCACCTTACGCTCACATTTCCATTGGACCATTTCATCCACCATTATTTCCCGCTCATATGAAAGTTAAGTTCCAATTTTTTCCAAAAACGTATCGCAAGCGAGGCATATTTGCGTTAAGACTGAGCTTTTGGGCAGCATTGGTCCATTTCCCTCACTCATCAAAAAGGGACGTGGAATGACTACTGTAATGCAGTTGAATTTGAGTTATGATAAGGGCAAGTCTTTGCAATTCATCTACCATTTCCATTTGTCCTTATGATATTGTAGCAAATGTGGAGGTAGCCCGATTGGGACTTGCACCCGACAGGTCCCTGTGACTGTCAGTCCAACAGTTTAAACATTCAACCAAGAGGCTCAGACCTCTTGTCTTGTCGAGGTCCCTGTTGTACTGAGGTTGCTACTTTATCCCCTTCCATCAGAAGCTAGTCCCCACAAGTCCATCATACTATCCCGATGGGACACTTCAATGGCCTCCTTGCACGCCATCCCACTTCTGACACCAATTGGTTCAAAAGAGTGAGTCACCAGACATGAGACATCCATGTCACTATGAAGATTGTGGATTGGTTAGATAGAGACACCTGCTGGCCAAAAGCACAAGCTGACTAGTGCCAGCACAACATGCAACATGTATCACTCTGTAGTTTACTGCAGTAGACGTGAATGTCTTTGTCATCATAAAAATCATAAATATTGCCACTGTAGCAGTGTTGAGTTTGCCCTCCTAGAAGTAGGCCACATGGCCCTTTTGGGTCAATGAATAATGAATTTGACTAAACATACTGGGCAGGCAATGTAAATACATACCCATACCAGTGGAGGCTGCTGAGGGGAGGACAGCTCATAATTAATGGTTGGAACGGAGCGAATGGCATCAAACACATGGAAACTATGTGTTTGATGTTGTTGATACCTTTCCACTGATTCTGCTCCAGCCATTACCACGAGCCCATCCTCCCCAATTAAGGTGCCACCAACCTCCTGTGACCTGTACCTTTCTTTGTGTTATATTTCAATGTTTACATGGCCTTTGCATCTCAAATAGCAGGTCTCCTTCTGTTCTAACTTCTGTCATGTTTCATGCTTTGTGTGGACCCCAGGAAGAGTAGCTGCTGCTTTTGCAACAGCTAATATGGATCCTAATAAAATACCAAATAATACATATCAGTGCTAGTCCTGAAGCTTCTCATAACCCTAAAAATCTGAAATCAGTAGCATGTTTTAGTCTCTCCACTGGCAGTGCAGGTGGTGGTTGCTCTAGTAAGCCAGCAGTGACAAATATATTCAAAATCTATAGATTCAAGCACCCAATTTTTCCCTTCTGACTTCAAATCGCACATTGATGTTAATGGGAGGTCTGCACACACATTTGAGTTGTGTGCAGATTTCAAGTTAGGATTGTGACATACAGTATGTGCTGTCAATTCCAAATCAGGTGGTTACAGTTGGAAGCTGTGAGCTCATGACATGGAAGCATAGAACCAATTAGCTACTACACATGGTGATAGAACATTGAGCTGTGAGTGTTAGTTTGGCAAAACGAAAAAGACAGAATCCTTCTAGGATCAAACACAAAATGCATATCAAAAAGCACTGCCAACCATATAACCAATTTTTACATAGTAAGTAAATAATCAGAAACATGAAATAGGCCACATGATACAGTTTTATCTGATTGAAGAGCGTTTCTGGAGGTTACCAATATTCATAACCCAATTAGACAGTGAGTAGAAAAACCCTGCCCAGTTTGGCAATCCTACATTGCCATTTGTTACAAGAGAGAACCTCATGAGAAAAAGCACATACATATTGAAGATACATTTGTCATATGTGGGTAAATTAAATGTATTAAAATTTTATTACAATTTGTAAAATGTGCATAAATGATATTCGATGCATCACCACCGAATGAGTTAATCCATAATCGTCTTTGAAAAGGGAAGCAACATGAGAGAAAAAAAGACATTCCTTGTTGAGATCATTTCAAACAAATATTGGTCAGACATTTCATCCAGCTAGGAAAGCAATGTGCTACAAACAACCACTGAAGACAGGAGTTCACCATACACCTTCATAAGTATCGTACCGGTACCAAAGCACCGTTTTAAATCAAATCAGGAAACATGGCTGCATGCTGCTTTCCCTTTTAACCAAAACTCAACATATATTCTCAGCCCCTACAATCACCCCACCCCATCACTTCACTCTTCCCAAGCCAGAGGGAGAGGTGATAGAGGCCCATGAGACAGACGATACTATTCCTCATCCTCAGCATGTTAGTTAGTGTGAATGTTATGACGTCGGTTTTGCCCTCATCAGGCAGGATGAAGCTTGCTTTGTTAGATTGATTTCTCCTCCCAGACCTTTGTTTAAGTGCAGATAAAGGCATATAAAACCTTGAAGAGAAATAAACATGGAATTCAGCCACATGCTTTCAAATATTAATCATATATTTAATTGATATACATATATTGCCACCATTGGCACATACGATATTGCACACAGTAATGAAATGTTGCACTGAAAAGAAAGAAAATATCTGTTGTGAGCAAAAAAACATTCAAAATTACAAATAATGTGAAATAACATTGAAAAGTTCAAACAAAAAACTAAAACAAAATAAGACATGCTTACTACTCCCCTGTAATTGAGGTCTTTAGCAACTTACAAATTACACATTACTGCCCAAGTCGTAGAACTACACACAGAGAATATCACAAGGGGGGCTCCAACAAGCGTTCTGAATCCAGTCCACAGTGATGTTTCCAGTCAGCCCCTGCTCTCCGCTCCACCTCACCGGGCTGGGCCTGTGAAGAGCAGGTTTCTCCGCATCGTCTTCTAGGTGACCACCCCCTTCCATGCTTACATGTAGGCCGATACCTGGATGGCTTGGGGATGGGAGTGAGGTTGGGGAAGGGGGAGGAAGGTTGCAGAAAACGCTTAGTAATCTGCCCCTTTTCTTTAGGGTTCTTTAGCACCACAAGTTATGCTGTGGCATACAGGGGGGGGGGGGGAATATATGGGGAAAAGAATAACCCAAGCCATGATCCAAAGCACCAGGCCAGCATGTAAGCATGCGGAGTGTGTAAGGCACCAGGTTGTTAATATGCTGAAGAGGACACACCCATTTGGGTATCATTAACACCAGTAGCGCCAATCAGGGGGCTCAAGGACAGTTAGGCCTGCTGCTTTTCACTCCAATCTGCCAAGTGATCTTTCCACTGAATACTAAGGTACATTTGTCATGGTCTGATTTATTGCCAGCTTCTTTGGAAACTGACAAGGTTTATAAAACTTGATGAGATATCCAGAGTCATACCAGCATTCAAGCTAAAGAGTTGAGCATTGTCAGGGATGAAAACCAGCTTGGAGAGAGGTCCTTGAGCCACAATGTTGGAAAACTAACATCAGGCTTTGTACAGGTAAACATGCAGCAACAAAACTCATTGGCACCTTGGCATCCTATTGGTTGACTGATATTTTCTGTTCCTTTGTGTGTCAAATTCCTCAACAGAAAACCTCTGTTCCATAAGTGCTGACATTGACATACATTTCAGATTCACAAAACCATGCTTTACTTTTTGTTTTAGCACTCAATAGACCATGAAGCCAATTAGGTGGTGCTAGCAGGGTTGAGTGCTCTATTTTACAAATATGCTGTTCTCAAGCACTTGTCATGTCATTTGCTGCATGTTGTCACTGCACTTCCTTAATCTAAGACGAGTACCTTTCTAAAAAACACATTGCATGACAACGAGACACAAAGGTAGTCTATAGTATACCAATCTGCATGACGACAACTTCAATTTCAAACAAAAGTTACAACAGTTATATTCCTTTTGAAGGTATTCATGTCGAGTTCCATTGACCAGTTCAATGTGTTCGAGTTTGATGTAATGCAATGCACAAGAGAGAGTGAGCACTTATTTCCTTGCATGACATTGCCTATGTACCTTTTTCAGACTGCATGACATCTAAACAAAATTCCTATGCAGGCCTAGCCCTCATACATTTATGATTTGTGTAAACACATCTCTACTCACAGGTAAAGGTAAATAGGGTGGCAAGTACACAATGACAACCCTTTAAAAAGGTTTTACATTTTGGTTAAAAAAAAACTAAAATATCTGATTTGTGCTGAAGTCATTAGCTCACTTTCTATAACTCGGCAATAATTCCATTTGAAAATTGCAAACACTTTTTATAATAGCTTTAACGTGTACAAAAGGTATTGGTTAATAAGGGAAATAAACACTCAGTTCTTTATCATCTGTCATCAAGTAGGAAACACGGTTCATATATAATGTTATTACTTTGTTTAGCAGCCGCTTACTGTATTAATGGTGGATAAGTGGGTAACATCCAGCGATGGGTGACAACATGTCATTACTGTCAGTTTGTGTAGGTTTCTTTTTTGTGGGTGGTGCTCCCTTGGAGTTAAACAGTTACAGTTAAATCTTTAGATCTCTTTCTTTTTACAGTAAAGTTTTTAATTATAATTTCTCTTTTTGTTATTTTGATTACTTTTTTTGCATGTTTTTGCGCTATATCAATCCTCGTCCGCATCATCAGCATGCATCTCCTCTTGCTGCTGCATCTCACATGCCCTTTTCTCCCGCTGTTTCTCTTGGATCTTCTTCATCTCCTCCGCGTATTTACAGAACGTATTCCCAAATTTTGACCACACTTTGTAGGGCACCGTGATAGAGTTGCGGTATGTTGGCTTCACCTCGCTTACCCTCATGAACACTCCGTATTTATTGGAGCCCACGTCGAAGAAAAAGCGTTTGTTGTCCACGGTCAAGGAGGTCCCCTCCGGCAACTCCGCAGGTTCGTCATCTACTCCGTAGTCGTCAATGAGTTTGGCCAAAGCGTCACGAAACTCAATAAGTCCCTGGGCAGGAAGAGCAATCGTCTGGCCTTGCGTGGATCCCAAACCGGGCCCCCGGTTCACGGTCTGTCGAATCCTCAGAAACCGGCCTCTCTGGTTCTCTTTCAGATCCATGTAGTACTTCCGATTCTCCCTGACCAAGAATTCGCTTTTAAGTGCTCGCCTCGGCTCATCCTGTGCGATGTCCGGATTGCTAGGACCTAATTGGGCATAATGTTCGATGAAGTCCCCTAAGTAGTCACGGAACTCTACTGCCACTGACATGGAGAGAGTGAGGCGGCTCTTGTTTCCCCCAGCCCCGACTTCGGCTATCTTCAAGAAGCGGCCTTTTGCGTTCTGCTTCACGTCCAGGTAGAAACGTTTGTTTTGAATGTCAACCCGTTTCGACGCTAGCTCTTGCGTCTCGTGCTGCAGCCCGGAAGCCGAGCCCGCCCCTCCTGTCACTGGGTGCATGGAACCAACGCCCGGGCCCGTGGCTGCTCCTCCCTGCTCACTTCCACTGTCTCTGTCCGCCATGATGCTGCCTGCCTGCCTTCTCCCTCTGTCTACTGCAACCCCACAGCCAGCCAGCCACGCCACCACTCTCGCGAGATCTACACAGAGGGAAATACAAGAACAATATCTATCGAGACCGCCTCAAAGTGGAAATTCTATATTATCCTTTAGGCCTAAATACAGTCGTGGCGCATTCATAAATGAATAGCCGTTTTTCATCACCGTCTAAATGCTCAGGCTATTTTGTTTGATGCAAGCTTACCACTTCAAAACTGAAATCGAAGTTATTATTTTGACAATCAAATTGGATGAAGAGCAATCCAGAAGTGCAGTAAAGCTTGGTATTTTACTTGAATCGTATGCGTAAAACATGAATGCGTCAAATCATATGCGTAAAAAGGGCTTACCTTTACTAATGGAAAAACATGTAGGCCTATTATTCCTCAATAACTGGGGTTATTACTAGTTTATTGCACTGTTGGGTATTGTCTTATGTTTGCGAATGTGTTGTGTATGTTTTTATGATGCAATGGGAAATGGGAAAAGATGGGGACAAAGCAGGGGTGAAATAAAAACGAAGAACTCTGTTTCCCACAAGCCATACATAGAATGCTGACAGCTTATGGTGGCTACAATCCAGTCCAGAGGCTCACATTCAAGGCAACATTTTACATTAGGCTATACATGGGTTAGGGTTGCCCTTGCGGCGTGCAAATACTCTGCACCATCTATTATACTTAGCTATTTGGTTTCACACCAATTATATTTCACACGTTGTTACTCTATCCAATGTAGGCCTACTAATTGACCTTCACTGTTACCATCTGAAAGCCTTGATTCGTGCTATTTGGAAACCTGAGCCGCTTCTCTATTACAAGTATTGTGAGAGAAATCCCCTATTTGGAAACAAAATACAAGAACGTTGCCTGCACAGGCACAGGTCGGTAATGGGCTAAAATAAGACTCCGGCTGCTAGGTTTACTAAGACAGTCTGTTGATTTAAGTGGCTCGGTTTGGCTTATTCATCAATTACAGTTGTCCTTACCAACCTTTCATGTTTCGACCTTGGGATGATATGATTCAATTTAGGCCGAGACAGAGACGCAGTCATGGTGATAGGGTGAGTCTTTCTTTCATACTCCTGTCAATGTAGTCGACTTAGCGTTACCATTCGTTTTGTTAGGCCTACCAAATAGAGAGCAAGCCTACCAAATAGAGTATTTGTTAGGCCTACTAGAAAATAGGCTACATGTCATGAGTGTGCACTTTTATGACACCTACTCGTTTCTCAGATCTATAGGCCTACATTGATCATATTATTTTTTGTAAATTAAAGCCAAGTCTCTTGATTTGAATGCGAAAATAGTAGGCCTAGTGTTCTCACGAGCTCCAAACTGCACAAATAACTTGGAGACAAATGTTCATTTTGGCTATATTTTAATTAAACTTAACATGTCAATTTTACATATTTAAATGTGATAATTGACATAACATATTATTATTATTTATTTGAAATGGAAGTTGTTAAACTGGGAGCCAAAAACTCGATATGTAGGCCTATAGCCTATTATTTAGCTTATTATTATCCTAGTCGTAAAATGAAATCGTATGTCCATCAGTCCAAATGAACAGCTTTCAGAACTATGTTTTTCGTATGTTATCTGTTTATATGCTAATTGTCTTCTATATCTAGTCCATCGTTAGCCTATGTAAAATAGCATGTTTTATTGAACAAAAGTAAAACTTATATCTCGTGTGTAATCGAATAAACAATTTTTTATGCTACATAATTATATTTGCTGAATAATGTTATTTTCTATTGGATTTAAACTTACATTTAATTAATTTAAGTTCCTTTTTAATGGATGTATCATTGGTGAAAAATAGCTATTGCCATTGTCAGGGTGTAAAGGAAGTGTTAAACTATGTATTTGTCAGAAAATGCTAAAGTCACAGCGATTTGCGTTGCAATAAAATAAATGTGTATTAGAAGGGAAGAACACGGACACAAATAAGTGTAACCATTATGGGACAAAAACAATTGGAAGGAATTAAATGGATCTAATATTTCGATTATAAGATGCTGATTTGATTGTTAAGTTCCTTCTTATTCAAATGTAATTTAATACATTAAATATATGACCACACACATCTTCGTTTGATATGTATGATGTTGTGACTCTTTCAGGCCTATAGAACTACCGAATATCTATCAAGAAATAAAACAGATTCAATACTTCCATTTTCTAGTCTAGCCCACATGCAGGCCATCGAATGATATACATTGTTTCGTTCTGGAAATGTTTATTTTGGCAATATATACCTGAATGCCAATGGGAACTTTGTAGCCCTGTAGCCTACTCTGACACAATTCATTTGAAAACTGAAACCTGGGTGTCTGTGCAATGTAGGCCTATTGTCAACTAAATTAAATAAACAAAATTACATTTTATTTATTTTCATTTTAAAAGTGATGTTGACACGAGCGGTAGATGCTTCATCTAGCCTATTTGCAATTGTTTATTTAGCAAACAATTACTGGTCTTGTGTCATCACAGTGAAAATAATATTATTCCTGAATAGACTTTGCTTTAGTGTTTTTCATTTGGCTTCATACAGCCCAAACACTTTGGTTATTTTTTACAGATTGTTGGACAGAGGGTGTAACGTGTAATTTATTTATGAAAGTGGAAAATAGCCCTAATAAATGAAAATTGTCGCTGTTGCTCGAGCAAAGTAATAGTGTATGACGGGACATTTGTTGAAAAAATGGATAGCCGTATCTCAGACGTCAAGTTAAAAAACGTTAACATAGCCTACAAATTGTTTACAAATGTGTTTAATCAAAATGTCCAGGCTACAAGTAGACCGAAGGAAAACTTCTATCGAAAAGGAAACTGCCATGATGTTGCTGAAAAACATTGTTTTATTGCTTCAGTCTCATTTGCAAACTAACAGGACCCATAAAACGTTCTTAGAGAACTGCTCATACCTATAAGCAAGTTATTTAATAACGACAATAGAATTCCATGGATATTTGATCGTGTTTAGCTCTCTCGTCCGTCAGTTCAGAGGCCTCTGTGAGAATTTTTTCACAGCATTTTTTATTTATTGTATGTGATTCTATCCTTCGACTAAGTTATCCCACTGCCTCGTTTTGGATTCACACATCAGACTATAATGTGCTAAGGTAAGATGAAAATGTGTAGCTGATTTTGTACAGAGCCAACAAGAGATAAAGAACATTCACGTTTTATTTATTTTCCCCTAAGTTTGTATTTAGTGCATCCTCCTTTGGCATGGCAGCTTTTGCTCTCTCTTTCTCTCTCTCACACACACACTTCTTTAAATATTCGGTTGGTGTTCTGCTTCCACTTGTCATAAGAATGTTCTCATGGGCAAAATTATTTTCTTAACTTGTCTTCTTCATGAGTCCAAAGATTTTGAACTGTGATGGACAAGAACACTGGTTCAATGGTCCCTTGATATTTTATTATTTGGATTCATGCTTTTGACCATCCCCATAACAGTGTTGACTTATCCCCACAACAGGATGACTTATCTTCAAGGGCACAAGGGTGAAAGAAGCAGAATAACACAGAAAACAGATCCACCTCTGAAAATAGAGGAATGTTCTGCATTTTCTCACTCAGTAGCAAATCTTACGCTAATTAAGTCTGTAGGCTATATAATTTACATGCATGTTTCATGATGTAAAGTATCTCTAAAATGCAGTCTGAAAAGTTTGTCCCACCTTCCCTGGAGTCACGTTGGCATTTTCATATGCTGGTCGATGTGAGTTTCATTTTGTGTGTTCGTTTTGGATCATATGTCAATCTTATAGAAGGGAATGATCAGTTCATACACATTCTCTGATCTTTTGGCTAATTTGGCCCAGGATGCTTGTTCCAAAACACACACTGCAAATGAAAGTGATCAAAAGCAAAGGTTGAATACTCTAGAACAAGGGTACTCAACTCTTACCCTACGAGGTCCGAAGCCTGCTGTTTTTCTGTTCTACCTGATAGTGAATTGCATCCACATGGTGTCCCAGGTTTAAATCAGTCCCTGATAAGAGGGGAACAATGGGAAAAAAGCAGTTGAACTGGCTTCGAGGTCCAGAGTTGAGTTTGAGGGCTCTAGAACATGTCCAGCAATCTCATAAAACACTTAAAAAGGTGTCATGTCAGTAAAAGGATTGCCAAAGGATAATGCAGAAAACACTGATAGTCATTTCTTGAGGTAAAATAGCCTAAGTTTGTTGTAGAGGTAATCTATGCTACACTCTTAGAAGAAAACAGTTATTCGGCTGTCCCCATAGGAGAACCCTTTTTGGTTCCACGTAGAACCATTTTGGGTTCCATGTAGAACCCTCTGTGGAAAGGGTCCTACATGGAACCCAAAAAGGTTATACCTGGAACCAAAAGGGTTATAATTGGAACCAAAAAGGGTTCTTCAAAGGTAAATCAATTTGAATTCAATCACTTTTTGACAACATCCCTTTTGATTTAAACAAAACTTTCCATTCATGTTTGCCCATGGAAGAAGTGGTTCGAAAGTTAATTTTTTTTACCTTAATGCCAAGACATTCAGGAAATAAAGGTGCTGAAAGTTGACCCATTTTGCATACCTCGTGCACCATACAATGAGACATCCATATCTTCATCACTGGGAAATATAAACAGTTGAGTTTGATGTCATTTAAAAGCTTACAAACAGTGTTGTCAAAATATTTTATAATTTATAGATATTTTGTATTAAGTACATTTTTAACCTTTTAAAGTCGATTATCTAAAAACGTGTAAACTCAGATATTTTTCATATTCACATATGTTATAGCTTAGATCCTACTTTACATCCTCTGAGGTTTTGTGTTGTGTCTGCTATCAGTTGAGACTCAACATGCTCTTGAATACATTTAAAATAATAGAAATAGGTCCATTCTATGAATTCTATCTCTTCAGACCACTGCAATTTAGTTGGTAGGCTACACTATTAAAATGTAAATTGAATTGAAATGTTTACTTCTAATTACTACCATAAATATTGGCCGCTGGTCCACCCACGTTGAATTTGAATTTAAATGGTCATGTCTATTCTATGATCTACATTTCTATGATTTCAATAAGTTTCATATGGAGGATTGACGGTATAATTTAAAACAGATATCCCCATTCAAGTCAACATTCCCATCTTTGTGGTACCATTTGAAAGTTGACATTTCAATTTTATTCCCATTTTAATACATTTATCAGCCAAAACATGACACCCACCCTTAACCGATGGCGGGCACAACACAAAAACCTCAGAATTATGTAAAATAGGCTCTAAGCTGCAACATAGGCGAATATTTACGCAGTTTTAGATAGGCCTAATTGACGTTAAAGGTTAAAAAATAATGTCACATGTTCTATTAAACTTTTTTTTCACGAAATTATAAAAAAGTTTGACAACCCTGTTTGTAAGCTATTAAATTATATAAATCTCGTTGATCTTTTCCAGTGATGAAGACATTGATGTCTCATCCCACTGGGCACACTCTGGTTGAATCAACGTTGTTTCCGTGTCCTTTCAATGAAATTACGTTGAACCAACGTAGAATTGACGTCTGTGCCCGGTGGGGTATGCAAAACAGGTCAACTTTGAGCACCTTTATCTCTTGAATGTTTTGGCATTCACGTCCAAAGAATAACTTTGAGCCCTTCTACAATGTATGGAAGTTTTTGTTCAAATCAAAAGGGGTGCTGTCAAAAAGTGATTGAATTCAAAAGGATTTACCCCAAAGGGTTCTCTTTTGGGTACTGCCAAATAACCATTTTAGGTGCTAGATATCACCTTTTTTTCCTAAGAGTGTATGACTCAAACCCGAGGGCGCTATATAGGTTGTCGGTCTCCATAGGCTTCTGCAGACATGTCTTATAAGCTTCTGTCAATTCACTGCAGTGCCGGTTGTCAACATGGCTTGATTGGCAACTACTTTTGATATTATCGGAAAGCTCCTCCATCACGGTAAGGCTGCTGAGGGAAATCGCTTGCAAACCGGAGCACCGATTAAGTGAGAGGATTGCAGTAATGAACCCAATGACATGTAAATAAACCCGTCGTCCTCTTCCCAACGTCATAGACCTATTAACGTGCAACAAGGATAGGCATATCTTACCCCGCTTAGTCTGCAGGCAGAGCGCCTGAACAACCTCGGCGTAGTCTCGTAGCAGACAGACACGAAAAAGGCGAATAACTCCTTGCAGGCCTACTGTCAACACTTATACGGTGGTGCTGCCTCACTGATTCGCCGCTTCACAAGATGGAAAGAAACAGCGAGTCGTGGCATGGAGAGGCACGCACGTAGCCTACAAGTTCAACGCCGCACGCTTGTCCTGTGATGTCAGCACGCTCAGTTACTGGGTGAACTGCAAGAGGCGTGCGCCTCGCACTGTTGCTCTTTAGAAATTGCAGTTTAAGATTTCTCAAACCCGCTAGTACTTTCTCGGTACATGTTTGAAGAGAACCACAAACTGGTGTTGCTTCTTATACCAAATCTATCCCTCCAATTCAAAAGGCATTTAGTCAATTTAATCGTAAGCAATATAAATCGTAATTCATTGAACACACCTTTTTAAATCATTAAAAACATTTTTATTCATTGAAAACCCTGTAGGCCTAGACTTGCTCTTCTGTGGTTAAATAAAGGATGGTCTCGTTTCCCTCCGCATATCCCAATCATGTAGGCCTAATTATTTAACTTCGGTGAGGTTGTAGGTTCTCTTCAATTGGTCGTTAGATAAAACCTACCTGTTTATCCTGAAAGTCGGAGAAATTATACTCCTTATCTTATTTTGTGTGTGTGTGGGGGTGGGGTGGGGGGGGGGGGACAAGTATTGCATTTTCCTAGAAGATTTGTCATATGACAAGTTAATTAGCCTATAGGGGCGGTTTAATCTCGGACTATTGTGGGTGGTGGTTAAATTTAAATTGCATGGAAAATGTATTTTAATGGATATATTAAATGGTAGTACTACCACTTACAGAATATAAGACAACAACTGAAGAGACCACTTTAAAGAGCCTCATGAAAGAACAGGTAAATTGCATCTCCAGTTGGATGTGATGCGGTTTCAGAACCATGGACAGCGTCATCCTGCTCTTCTATCTCGTGAAATCCACTGGAAGATCATGGAGTGGGCTAGATAGCACTGCTGCCCAAAAGCTTGTCTCATTGGGCATTTCTCATGCTCATCTAGCCCTTTCGTTCGTTGGCCTATTTGTTGGAGAATCTGTGTCAAACCTTGTCAATGGTGTACATGAGTGTTTCTGGCGGAGGGGTGGGGCGATATCAATGACAGACTTTTGACCACTGGGCACAGACATCATTTCAACATCTATTCCACGTTGGTTCAACGTAATTCCGTTGAAATGACGTGGAAACAACGTTTATTCAACCAGTGTGTGCCCAGTGGGTACATTTCAATATGTCTTTATGTGTTGTTCATTGGAGGGTCAAATAAAAATCTCAAGCTTTTTGATGTTGTCAGAGAAGAGGCAATAAACGTTTTTTTATGTGATAAAGTGGGCCAAAATAGTAACGACCCACTGGGCACAGACGTCAATTCAATGTCTATTCCACGTTGGTTCAACGTAATTTTATTGAAATTACATGGAAACAACGATGATTCAACCAGTGTGTGCCAAGTGGGGAGGCTGGGGAGAAGTTTTCCTTCAATGTTTTTAGTCAACATCCTGCATGTTTTAGGCTGTGTTGCTAATATCATTTATGTCTGTCTGTCTGTCCATCTGTCTGTTTTTTTCTCTGTCTGTATTGAGTATGTTGCTAAAACAATGGTCACATTCGAGGCGAGCATTTCAGAATATGACCTCACGTTCCTCACCTGCTCTGGGGAATGTTTGTTGGTCAACAGATGTCGCCCTTCGTGAAAGCATTCAGCTTCAAGTCCAGTGGTTCTCTCCGCATTCAAATTAAGCCCAACATAATATTGTCCTTTAACTTAGTTGACATATTCACTTCAAATAAGAAGTATATTATTTAACATCTGAATGTGTAGGCTATATATAATCAATTCCCATTTCATATTTTCTCTCCATGCCATTAGGCATGTCTCATTAACAGCCCACACAATACATTTGAATATGCACCAAGTGCCTGTCCATGCATGAAAGAGAGCTCTCAGTTCTGCTGTCTTTAAAGGCCATTCGCAGCTGTTTTAGTTGTATGGATTTGATGCAGCGCCTCAGCATCTGTTTTTTTTCAGAGGCAGAACGACGAATGTGACCTGAATGCAGGGCATGACTTAATAATGGAATGAGAAGCAAAAACTCATTTAAAACAGTCTGTTGAAGAATCTGAGGCTCTGAATCGCGCTTTCACAGCGTTAGTCATCACAGCCGAAACCCCTTCTATCTGCTGAACTGATTGCAGCTTTTTCAATCGATCTTTTATCTTCTTTTTTTTAGGGATAGGCCTATGTCCACTGTAATACGCAATTTTAAAACGGGACGCGTGATGCATTTTTCTGTTTTATTTAATTATTAAATTGAAACGTGAAACCGTCTGGTGATGGGGAAGAGCATGAAGTGATTGTCATTTGTCGGCGTTTGGGGGTAGTGTGGTGACCGAGCATTGGTGTCGGGGTAGGCTACATCATAGTGCTCCAATCTTAAATATCATTTTTGTGGTGGAGCCCTTCGCAATCCGCATATTTCTCTCCGTCTCTGGTAAGTGGGGGAGGCGGAGAGAGACAGGGTAGTTGGAAAAGGCGGTTTATTACCCGTGGAACAAAACACTGTTTCGTTAGGGGCATGAATCGTATGCATTTTTTGCAAGTGGACTATAAAACGAATTGTTCACTGCAGCATTTGGCGTATTTTCTCTGCGGCGAATGATACAGAAAACCATCAGTGCTGAGCACGGCGCCCACCCGACCACTGCAATTTTTGGGCAAAGATAGACTGGCGTCGTCTTGCGGATAGGCTACTATGGCAGCATAGGAGCATCTTCTGATGGGGAGAATCCATGAATCCCTTGCATTTTAGAATGTATTTTTAGCAGAATGCAGTGATGGGATTTTAAACCCAGCATCATTACGCGGTTTCCGGTTCCTAGCTGGTATTTCCACATTGCAAAATTATTGGAAAAAGCAGCGGATCCCGATGGCATGGACACTTACGCAAGGTCTGCCGCGCTGCCGTGCTACTGGAGCTTATTTGCTGTCTCTTCCTTCAACCCAGCTCCACCGCCATCGCCCCGCAGCCCAGAGAGCCCTGCCACAACGCGATCAGCGACCACCGAGCCAAAGCAGGCGGCATGAGGCTTGATTCAGTACATTTATCCATGCTGGTCATCGGGGTCTCCTTCGCCTGCTACTCCCCGAGTTTGAATTCCCTGCAGGACCAGGCTTACAAATCCGCTGTGGTGATCGAGGGCAAGGTGCAGTCTGCGCCTCTGAACGTCTCAGCGGAGCCGTACCGTGTGAGTGTCAAAGTGCTGGACGTGTGGCCGCGGAACAGCGGGGGTCTGGGACGGGAGCAGCTCGTCACCGTGGGGGAATTCGGATCGGAGGCTCCGTGCACCACAGTGATAAAGAATCACAAGTACATTTTTTTCATGGACCCAACCGAGGAGCCCTTGGTTTTCAAGGCATCGTATGCTCCCGTAGATACTAGTGGGAAGAATCTAAAAAAAGATGTTGGGAAGATATTGTGTGAAAACTGCGGTAAGTTTATTCTTTAATCTTGCCACTGAAGTCGAACCTGGCAAAGCACATCAAATGATTATGACTGTACTTCCTTCAGTTGCAACTAGCCATACGTTCTTCCCCTGTCCATAAGTCTAGCTACATGTGGAATAGTGATTTAATGTTTGAGAGTGAGTAACAGATGGGTGAGGGTGCCCATGGACATCTCTGCTGCAATATTCGAAAATAGAAACATTTAGGCTAGAGGTATCAATAGGCTTCATGATGCCATTGACAAGCACGCACGCACGCACACACACACACACACACACACACACACACACACACACACACACACACACACACACACACACACACACACACACACACACACACACAGGCACTTTACATGTAAGATTCCAGAAACGCAAGGCGTGGATCATTTGGTTGATTAAAACAATGAATTACCCACCGTGCAGCAGACGTTGCATTAATGCGAGTGTCGATGCAGTAGGCCTACGCGCACACACATAAACACGCATACACACATGCACGCACACACGTGGATATTGATTCTCGTGGAAATCTGTCCTTCATGCAAAAAATAATAATTCTAACCTGATTTGCAAATGCATAAGTACGGTCACGTTTCTTAAAGTGGCAGTAGTAGTCTACATGTCAATTCAATATGTTTCATATTTCCATGAAAATCTATGATGAGGCAGCCTGGGGGATCTCTAAAGCCTGCCGGTTGCTGCTTTGCGCTTGTGTTCTGGGCCTTCAGAGCAACGGTGCCGGCAGTGGATCCCTTTCAACACAAGTTAGGACGCATCGAACCTGTAGCCTACTTTCCCATCCCCATCAACGTCATACTATGCTGCTCTCTGCGTATTAAGGAAGTAAACTGCTATGGTCAGGGGGTGAAACTGATTTACGCACAAGCATATAGGGTGAGGGCCCTGGCCCTCACCCTATATGTTCAGATCCTGAAAGTAAATAAGAAATAGAAGGATACTAGGCTCAGCCATAGAGAGAAATAGGTCAATTGGATGTACCCATGGTCGATCTTTCTTACCACGTTTTGAGCAGCATTATTGTTGCCTATGCTTTATGTGTAAGACGACAACGTGCAACCAGAATCAAACTAAGACCAGGGTCTCCCGACTTCCTTGACCTCGAGGAAATGGCTGTATTTCCCCTCATTGCAGTTATCTCATTCCTCTGTGTGGTCAGTCTGTCCATGCTCTCATAGAATGTATCAGTTACAAGCACGAATTTTGACACTGACGGGCAAAATGGCAACTTAAACCCCTGTCCATGGTGCTGATTCTTTGGCGCAGTAACTGACCAGAGTTGCCGAAGGCCTAAATGGGCTGAGCCTGACAACTCTTCATGTGATGACACAAATCACAAAGGATCTTAATATCACAGGAGGTTGGTGGCACCTTAATTGGGGAGGACAGGCTCGTGGTAATGGCTGGAGCAGGAATTAGTGGAATGGTTTCAAATACATCAAACACATAGTTTCCATGTGGTTGATGCCATTCCATTTGCTCCATTCCAGCCATTATTATGAGCCGTCCTCCCCTCAGCAGCCTCCACTGCTTCACATTACCACCTGGAATGGAGCTACACCTGACAATTTATTGGTCCATAGTTTTATACTCTTACTCATGTGACTTGCAGGGTGGTTTCAATTCTAAATGCAATTCACTAGTTTACAGCTCCTGGATATTAGCAACATTGGATATTATGCTCCAGTTAAACTTAAGACAGGAGAACATGGTAATCATATGAAGATTTCTGAATATAGAGCTTTATGTTTATGTAGATTATGTATTTCCCCCCCATTAAAACTATAGCTGGATGCATGAGGAGGACATTTTAAGTTGATTGTCTTGAGTAAAAGTTGTGACACTCCAGGTTCAGCATTTAGCAGCATCTCTCTGTTCCAGCTTGAATGAGGCACAATTTGTTCCTTACTTGATTTGTGATGGGTGGATTATGTTACTAACAAGGATGGGCTGCAGTTTCTACCAAAGGTACTGATGGTTGCTATTTATGAACATTGCTCACATACATTTCCTCTTGAGTTGGCAGTTTGTTTTTAAATAAGACAAGGGAGTTTATACAGTACCACACTGTAGTTCAGAAGATATTAAGAGGCCCATTGTACTCTATTTATTTGATGTGATTTGTCTTAGAACTGTTCTGAGATCTGATTGGAGGCCCCAGTTGAACGGGCTGTTGTAGCACTGGTTGCCTTTGTGCCTCTCTGGATTGACAGGCAGTCAGACAGAAGGACAGCACGGGCACACTGACTGACTGGGATTTAAAATATGTCATGTCTGCCTTTTAGCTCACATTTTGGGATAAGAATAGTATTTTGTGCCCGTCCCTTATGGCTCAGCCTAGATTGAAAGACTGTAGTTGAAGGTAGTGTGGCGGGGGCCCCTAGCTTTTTGTCTACCCATAGACTCCATGGAGGAGACCTACATATTAGCACCCTCTAGCCTATGTTTCTGTCTGTGTGTGTGTGTGTGTGTGTGTGTGTGTGTGTGTGTGTGTGTGTGTGTGTGTGTGTGTGTGTGTGTGTGTGTGTCTGTGCCGTGCGTGTCCTGTCTCTATTTGGGATTTTGCTCTGTACTTATCCTTGGTGTATTAATGTTTGTTGTCTTTTTGCATAGCATGCATTTCATATCCAGACAAACATTGCATAAAGAAGTACCAGCACATATGATATGAAGAAGAACACAACTGCAAAATAGTGTTGGTATGACACTGGAGGGAAGCATCTACTCCCACTGCTGACAGGTCACAGCTGCAGTGAGGTGGGAGGCATGGATTTGCCCATGGCTCTGTACAGCAGTGAACCGAGAGAGCACTCTGGTACAGAGCACAGCTATATGGCACAACACATGAATAACATCTGTTGATGGGGCCAGGGCTTTGCTCCCTCTACATGAGGAGTATGTCTGATGGTCATACACCTCAACAGGCAGGCGCACAGGGAACCAATATGAAATAATGGACTTTGGTCAGGAACAGGTAGGCTTTATGGATTGGTATGACTGCAATGGGAATCTGAGGTTAAGAGGTAGGATTTAGTGTTGTCAGGATATAGTGTGTAGACCACTAGGGTCAATAGAATAGAAAGAGATGTTGATAGGTTGGGATGAGGCCCTCTGTTGGTAGAGACTGGTACCTGGCTGCTGTGTGGGAGGCCTGCAGGCAGCAGCTTCATCAGGTGCATCTCTCTCCGTCCAACTTCCTTACTGCTGGATAGACGGGAGTGTGGGATGTTGTTCCATCTCTTCAGCTCATACACAGAGTGCCTGTGCTCACATCTGTGCTGTTTTGGTATCTTACCACAAGCACTACAGGAGGATCTTATATTTACCTGTAGTGGACATTCAAATCAAATCAAAATCAAATCAAATGTATATATAAATGACATCAGGAAGATATTGTGTTGCTCTTATACTTATGTAGTAACAATGTATACTTATTCTAGTAACAACAATGTATTAACATGTTTTTACATGTTATTATTAGATAGCATTTAAGTATTTGCGTTATTTGCAGTGTAATTGCATAGTAATGGAGTTGAATGGTTTTTAAACTTTTTGAGGTTTGTAGTTGTAAGACAGCAGGGGTTTGCGGATCTCAGAAAGGCCAGTGTGTGATGGACTGGGGGCTGAGGCCAGAGCGGCACATTGACTGACTTAGCAGTGGGATCCTCAGGAAGGAGTTGGTATTGATTCAGGTCACACATGATGATCAATGTTTGTGTAGGGTGTTGTGTGTGTTCCCTGGGTGATGTATTTATACACTGAGCCCCGCTGGCTCTTTCCTCTACTCTCCAGGGCTCTGTCACCAGCCAGATGTACGACTGCTAGACTACTAGCTATGGGAAAAGAGGGCAGGGCTATTTTCAATCGTCTCTCTCGCCTCTTCCTGGATCGCTTATGCAATTACACTTACTCACATTGACTGATAGACGTGGTGCTACACAAGCTATTAGCAGTAATGGAATGAGTCAAAAAGAAACCACAGTCAGATAGTACCAACCAGACCCTCAAAGGAGTGTTTTGAACTTTGATTAAAGGCCTAGGGTAATTAAAGGTTCAAAGGCACAGTAAGAGCCCAGACAAACAGGGTTCATATGAAGACATGGAGGTTGTTTATGGTCGTGGACAGGAACATGTAGCTACAGGATTTGTTTTAGATAACGCCATTGATGTATTTTCTACCATTGGTGGAGGCTAAAGATGATATCTGTAATGATCATTGGTTTCTAGTGGAATATACACTGATTTCCCATCACCACAGCAGTCCTGTGAGTCCATGGTGAGATGGAGTGTGTGTCCAGGCCCAGTGGGATCAGAGAGCTTCTGAGGGTTTTGAGGTATAAGGAGTGATGCTAGGCCAAGCTTCCATAATACCTTGTCATTGACGAGTTGTAAATTCACTCCACAATGCTTCAGATAGCCCAGAAAGGCAATACTGTGGCTGAGTGAATTCTGATATGAGATATTTAGTTTCATCCACTATCAGAGCTATGTAATTTCTAACTTGTTGCTTCCACTGCCAGGCTGCAACAAGTCTTTGTTGTAATTCTATATCAAGTTTCAAGTTTTCACCGTCCAACGAAATGCTTACTTGCAAGAGTGTTTCACTCTTTGTTGTTTTGAATTGGATTTGACCGCTGTAGTTTTTAATTTAGGCCAAAAAGTTCATTTATTTGCCATGTTGTCTTGCAGTATTATTTCACAGCCTTGTTACAAACAGAATGGATGATTTGGAGTGGATTTTTAACAGAGGCTTCTTTCTTTTCACTTTGTCATACAGGCCCTTAATACGGAGTGAATTAAATGTTGTTGATCCCTTTGTATTTTCAAGTGTTGTGGTGGCAGCATCATGTTATGTGTATTCTTGTCACCGGCAGGGACTGGGGAGTTTGTTAGGATTAAATGAAATATGAAAGGAGCAAAGCCCAGGTAAAAAGTTAGAGGAAAATCCGCCTCAGTCTTCTGAAAACCTAACCCTGTGATAGGGTTACATTTTTCTGCGGGACAATTACACACATTTTTATGCAAAAGACAGATCAGAATGGCTTTCAAAGAGGTGTTGAGTGTTCCTGAGTGGTCTAGTCTCAGTCCTGACTTAAATCTGCATTTAAAATCAGAGACAAGGTTTAAATATCGTTGTCCATCAATGACCCCCAATAAATTTAATGAGCCTGAGAAATTTTGACAAAATATATGTATATACAGTGCATTCGGAAAGTATTCAGACCTGTTGACTTTTTCCACATTTTGTTACGTTACAGCCTTATGCTAAAATTGATTAAATTGTTTTTCCCCCCTCATCAATCTACACACAATACCCCATAATGACAAAGCAAAACCAGGTTTTTAGAAATGTTTGCAAAAAACGGAAATATCACATTTACATAAGTATTCAGACCCTTTACTCAGTACTTTGTTGAAGCACCTTTGGCAGCGATTACAGCCTTGAGTCTTCTTGAGTATGATGCTACAAGCTTGGCACACCTGTATTTTTCTCCCATTCTTCTCTGCAGATCCTCTCAAGCTCTGTAAGGTTGGATGGGGAGCATCGCTACACAGCTATTTTCAGGTCTCTCCAGAGATGTTCGATCGGGTTCAAGTCCGGGCTCTGGCTGGGCCACTCAAGGACATTCAGAGACTTGTCCTTGAGAAGCCACTCCTGCGTTAGCTTGGCTGTGTGCTTAGGGTCGTTGTCCTGTTGGAAGGTGAACCTTCGCCCCAGTCTCAGGTCCTGAGCACTCTGGAGCAGGTTTTCATCAAGGATCTCTGTACTTTGCTCCGTTCATCTTTCCCTCGATCCTGACTAGTCTCCCAGTCCCTGTCGCTGAAAAACTTCCCCACAGCATGATGCTGCCCCCACCATGCTTCACCGTAGGGATAGTGCCAGGTTTCCTCCACACGTGACGCTTGGCATTCATGTCAAAGAGTTCAATCTTGGTTTCATCAGACCAGAGAATCTTGTTTTTTATGGTCTGAGAGTCCTTTAGGTGCCTTTTGGCAAACTCCAAGCGGGCTTTCATGTGCCTTTTACTGAGGAGTGGCTTCCGTCTGGCCACTCTACCAAAAAGGCCTGATAGGTGGAGTGCTGCAGAGATGGTTGTCCTTCTGGAAGGTTCTCCCATCTCCACAGAGGAACTCTGGAGCTCTGTCAGAGTGACCACCGGGTTCTTGGTCACCTCCCAGACCAAGGCCCTTCTCCCCCAATTGCTCAGTTTGGCCGGGCGGCAAGCTCTAGGAAGAGTATTGGTAGTTCCAAACTTCTTCCATTTAAGAACGATGGAGGCCACTGTGTTCTTGGGGACCATCAATGCTGCAGAAAGGTTTTGGTACCCTTCCCCAGATCTGTACCTCGACACAATCCTGTCTCGGAGCTCTATGGACAATTCCTTCGATCCTCATGGCTTGGTTTTTGCTCTGACATGCACTGTCAACTGTGGGAACTTATATAGACAGGTGTGTGCCTTTCCAAATCATTTCCAATCAATTGAATTTTCCACAGGTGGAATCCAATCAAGTTGTAGAGACATCTCAAGGATGATCAATGGAAACAGGATGCACCTGAGCTCAATTTCGAGTCTCATACAGTGGGGGAAAAAAGTATTTAGTCAGCCACCAATTGTGCAAGTTCTCCCACTTAAAAAGATGAGAGAGGCCTGTAATTTTCATCATAGGTACACGTCAACTATGACGGACAAATTGAGATTTTTTTTTTTTTCTCCAGAAAATCACATTGTAGGATTTTTAATGAATTTATTTGCAAATTATGGTGGAAAATAAGTATTGGTCACCTACAAACAAGCAAGATTTCTAGCTCTCACAGACCTGTAACTTCTTCTTTAAGAGGCTCCTCTGTCCTCCACTCGTTACCTGTATTAATGGCACCTGTTTGAACTTGTTATCAGTATAAGACACCTGTCCACAACCTCAAACAGTCACACTCCAAACTCCACTATGGCCAAGACCAAAGAGCTGTCAAAGGACACCAGAAACAAAATTGTAGACCTGCACCAGGCTGGGAAGACTGAATCTGCAATAGGTAAGCAGCTTGGTTTGAAGAAATCAACTGTGGGAGCAATTATTAGGAAATGGAAGACATACAAAACCACTGATAATCTCCCTCGATCTGGGGCTCCACGCAAGATCTCACCCCTTGGGGTCAAAATGATCACAAGAACGGTGAGCAAAAAATCCCAGAACCACACGGGGGGACCTAGTGAATGACCTGCAGAGAGCTGGGACCAAAGTAACAAAGCCTACCATCAGTAACACATTACGCCGCCAGGGACTCAAATCCTGCAGTGCCAGACGTGTCCCCCTGCTTAAGCCAGTACATGTCCAGGCCCGTCTGAAGTTTGCTAGAGTGCATTTGGATGATCCAGAAGAGGATTGGGAGAATGTCATATGGTCAGATGAAACCAAAATATAACTTTTTGGTAAAAACTCAACTCGTCGTGTTTGAAGGACAAAGAATGCTGAGTTGCATCCAAAGAACACCATACCTACTGTGAAGCATGGGGGTGGAAACATCATGCTTTGGGGCTGTTCTTCTGCAAAGGGACCAGGACGACTGATCCGTGTAAAGGAAAGAATGAATGGGGCCATGTATCGTGAGATTTTGAGTGAAAACCTCCTTCCATCAGCAAGGGCATTGAAGATGAAACGTGGCTGGGTCTTTCAGCATGACAATGATCCCAAACACACCGCCCGGGCAACGAAGGAGTGGCTTCGTAAGAAGCATTTCAAGGTCCTGGAGTGGCCTAGCCAGTCTCCAGATCTCAACCCCATAGAAAATCTTTGGAGGGAGTTGAAAGTCCGTGTTGCCCAGCGACAGCCCCAAAACATCACTGCTCTAGAGGAGATCTGCATGGAGGAATGGGCCAAAATACCAGCAACAGTGTGTGAAAACCTTGTGAAGACTTACAGAAAACGTTTGACCTGTGTCATTGCCAACAAAGGGTATATAACAAAGTATTGAGAAACTTTTGTTTTGACCAAATACTTATTTTCCACCATAATTTGCAAATAAATTCATAAAAAATCCTACAATGTGATTTTCTGGATATTGTTTCTCATTTTGTCTGTCATAGTTGACGTGTACCTATGATGAAAATTACAGGCCTCTCTCATCTTTTTAAGTGGGAGAACTTGCACAATTGGTGGCTGACTAAATACTTTTTTCCCCCACTGTAGCAAAGGGTCTGAATACTTATGTAAATACGGTATTTTTTTACATTATTTTTTTCGCTTTGTCATTATGGGGTATTGTGTGTAGATTAATGAGGGGAAAAAATTAGTTAATCAATTTTAGAATAAGTCTGTAACGTAACAAAATGTGGAACACTTTCCGAATGCACTGTATCTTGCCCTAAGATTTAGTACAATTTTCACAGCTGTAGTTGATTTTAAGGCAGCAAAATGTGAAAAATGTTCAAGACAGTGTAGACTTTCTATAGGCACTGTATGTACATGTAGAACATGCTAATGGCAACTGAGAATAGCAGGTCCATAGGGGACAATATTTAGCAGTTTAACAAACAGGAAAATACCTCATGGTTGTTGATGACAGCTGACATGTTTTACCTATGCTTTTCTGCTTAATGACTCAGTCATTCTTAGCAGACAAGAAAGCATTGCATTCACCACATAGAGGCAGTATATGATCAGGATTCTTGGCAGCCAGGGGGAAACAGACCAAAAAGTAGTTTGAGTCATGCTGGAATGTCAGTGAAGCTGTTTTCTGTTTTCTTCCCTGCCCCACTTATTTGAATACTAGTCTACACAAAAGACAAACTGCACCCTAGAGCCAACCTGAAGTTCATATGCAATCC